CTATCTATCTATCTATCTATCTATCTATCTATCTATCTATCTATCTATCTATCTATCTATCTTGTTTCCCATGAACAGCTAGATTATGCTAAATAACAGCAACTTTGTGCAGCTCTCCCTTATCTATCTACTCTTTGATATTGATGTTCTGTTTTCTCTAAATGATAAATCATCCTTGATATATAGTCTTTAATACAAGGTTCATGTAATAGAGCTATATCATCTAAACTCCAATATCAGTTGCTATTAATCATGCTCATGAACTGCTTTGTATACAGTTGCCTACAATATTTGAGGAGAAATACAATAATATTCAGAAATCCAATTTGAATCGTACTGCTTATCCAATAGTAGTTGCTACTTTTTGAAGGCAGCAAATATAATTTGGTTCAAGCCACTCTCTAAACAATAATAGAAAAATGGACCTAAAATACCAGGTAGACTTTTTAAAAATCCAAGTTTTGGGTAGATGTACATGGCACGTTAATTTATTTGTATGGCAGTAATCTGACTACATGAAAACAAATGTTAACATAATAAACATTTCAAATTTCCAGACAGTATAATAACTAGACAACCCTTGCCAGTTGTGTCATCATTTCAGAGATATTTCCTTACCTAAACAGCAAACCAGAATGACCACAGATTGGCAAAAAAACAAGTGGGAGCACGAAAGACTTTTCATTTCCTGCTGGCTTTCCCACTGAGTTTCCTTGTGGGAATCTGGCAGGGAGCATCAGAAATTTTCTCTCCCCTCCCCTCATCTCTCTTCTCCTCCCCTCCCCTTCCCACAGGTAAGTGGCCACTGCTGTGTAAGGAACAGAGTAACAAATTATGAGGCTGGCTGGGAAACTGTCATGGAACATTAAAAATGAAGGTCTTGTGACCATAGTAGCAGCATAACTGCAGCCAGTAATACTGAAGCAGCCACATTTTCCCCAAATTTCATTGAGTCATGAATCTTGGATTTTGGATACATTTTGTAAGTTAGCCCATTTGAGAGAGATACCTTGGTTCAAAAATGGTTACCTTATGATGTACCAGTTAAAGTTGACAGTCATGACAGTGAATATTTTAGTAGCATATAGACAGATAACAGTCATAATGTAATATAATGTCCCAAAGGGGCTTTTTCAAAAGACAACTGGACTTTTTCCTTGAAGATGTTTTGCTTCTCATCCAAGAAGCTTCTTCAGTTTTGACTGGATGAGGGGGGATGGATTTATATTCCTTGCAGTCATCTGGTCATTAGCACTCTTTCTGAGAGGCATTGAAGACACTTGGAGGTTTATCTGTGCCTTAATGACTCTCAGAAAGAGTGCTAATGACCAGATAACTGCAAGGAATATAAATCCTTCCATCCTCCACCATTTAGCCAGAACTGTAGAAGCTTCTTGGATGAGAAGCAAAATGCCTTCAAGGAAAAACCAAGTCCGATTGCCTTTTGACAAAAGTATTTTTGGGACAACCATGACCTGGATGACAGAGAATCTTCATAGACAAATGTAATGTAATGTAATCAGGGATACCCAACAGCTAATAGCCGTTTTTAGCTTTTAAGGCTGCATTGTAAAAATAATGGGTGGAGCCAGAACAGAAGCTGAATTTGATTTCATTTACATTTTATGAATACACTTGTATTCCATTTCCCTTGCTCTCCTCCTCCCAGTTCGCAGGTAGCTGTTTCTTCAGATTTGAACTATACAGAAACAACTTAGTTTGTATCTTTTGCACTTCTCAAAAGAACATTATATTTTACAAATAAGTGGGTGTCACGTTCAAATAGTCTTCTAGTCCAGGGGTCCCCAACCCCCAGTCCATGGACCAGTGCCGGGCCGTGGCATGCCAGCAACCGGTCTGCACAAACAAACAAAACCCCATCTGTGGGATGCAGGCAACACACAAAATCACGCACCCTTCGGTCTGCAGAAAAACCTCTCTCCATGGAACCGGTCCCTGGTGCCCAAAAGGTTGGGGACCTCTGTTCTAGTCTATTTACAATGCATGTGTTTATGATGCTATTTATTTAGTCTAGCCTGTGAATGATGTACCAAGTGAAAGGATGATCAGAGAATACATGCAACACACATAAATATAGTTGCATTTTTGTGGATGCCCCAAATGTTGTGGCTGTTGCTGTAGAGCAGTGCTTCCCAAACCTGGATAAAGTTACTCAAAATTGGGCAAAAGTATTTTGGGGGGGGGGGTAATGACCCACAAATCCATTAACCATCACAACAGAGACATTTAAATTGATTTCCATAGATTTCTTTAGATTTCCACATATACTAACATACACTCAAAAATCTCCCAAAGTATTCCTAATAAAACAAAAATCAGTAAAGTTACTGGTGGTAATTTATTCAAATGACATACATATCATTCAATAATATTGTTTTTAGAATACAGGTAGTCCTCAAGTTATGACAATTTGTTCGGTGACCATTCAGGTTACGAAGATGCTGAAAGAAGGTCCTTGAAGCTTGATAAGACTTTATGATGAGTGGTTTGGGGTAATGAAGGAAAAAAATTAGGAAGCACTGCTATTAAGTTTAGACAACTTGAACCATTAGGACTGAGCTGGTGTGTGCTTTTGATTAAATTTTTCATATTCATCCAGATAATAATCTTTCATAATGAAATAAAATTCCAGAGAGAGTTATCATTGTCATTAGATTTGTTTTGAGTCCACAAAATAAGATACTTCTTACTGCCTATATTCTTTTAATAAGCAAAGCAAAATCCCCCAATTCTTCCAGCGTTCTATTTTAGCCAGGGAGACTGATATCATATTTTGATAGGAGACAGAATCTTTCTTTTTTCAATCTGTCTTCCAATCAGTACATTGATTATTGTTTACCATCTTCATTTTTAATCAAAGAGGTTGATTACATATGATCAATGCCATTTCTTCCTGTCTAATACTGAACCAGGGATCTATCTGGATTAGGGCCAAAATATTCTTTCTTTCATTAGATCAAGTCACATACTGTATACAATTAAAGCTATCATCTACAAAATGCTGTAATCATTTTATTATCTTGACAAAATCTGCGCATTGTTCTCTATTTTTTTTTAAAAAAACAAACTCTTAACAGAAAAAGGGGATAATTGATGCTGTGAATAATGAAGGTATTTATTGCTGTTGCTGAGTTGATTTTTTAAAAATCTTTTAACTGATACTAGCATTTCCTCTACTCTTCCTGGATCCTGATTGTTTCAGCAGATTTTAGGTTGTAAAAAATAGGTACTAAAATCTTGTATTCAGAAGAAGTTCAAACATTCTGTAAATTCATAAATTAGCTGACCTTTTGCTGCTGAGCAAAGCAGGAGAAAACAGGGATTTATAGTTACGG